AGCCCGTTTAGCAGCAGCTCGCCAGTTTTCCCTGTTTTCCAATATTTTTGCCCCCCAGCCCAGCCTGGGCGGAGCTCTGGGGACACAAAAACCAGGCTCGGCCGCCGGTAAAACATCCCCTCAGGGCAGCTGGATTGATGGCTTTTTCCTTTCCCTTTTTCCTTTCCCCTTTTCCCTTTCCCCCTTTTCCTTTCCCCTTTTCCCTTTTCCCCTTTTCCTTTCCCTTTCCCAGATCCCTGCAGGCAAATCCCGGCGTGCAAAATCCAGCGCCCGTTATTTCCCGTTATCGTCGCCAGGATAAACTTTCCCTGTCCTCCAAAGGAATCCTGGAGCCGCGTGGGCACAAGTTTTGTGCTGCCACTCAGTGGCAACACACGGGAGGGTTCCCCCTTGGCCCGAGGATTTCCAGGCGAGGAGAGGCTTTTCCTTGTTTATTTTTAATCCAATCCATTTATTTATTCCTTATTTAATAAATATTTATATATTTATTCCAGCTGCTGCAACATCACTGTATATTTATAATGGTCTGTTCCAAAATGTTGTTGTTTTTATGGCTATAAATTGCTTTTTCTGTGCTGGTACACTGGGTTTATATTCATATATATATACATGTATTTTCTATATAGTTATATTTAATATTTGGCTTATATTCATACCTTTCTATTTATATTTCTACACTGGCTTATATTTTCCCATATATTCACATATTCACAGCTATAAATTCAATATATTTAAATTATTTACAGCCATAGATTTTTATATTTGAAAATATTGACACACCCACAGCTATAAATTTAATATACTTTAAGACACTGGCACATTTATAGCAATAAACATATATAACAGAATATTAACATATATTTATTTATATAAATATATGTAAATTTAATATGTTTCAAAACAGTGCGCATTTATAGCCACAGATTTTATCTATTTCGAAATATCGGCGCGTTTTGAGCCGTGAGTTCCCATTTCCACGCTTAAATCCCCGGTTTTTACCGATTTTTGCC